GGGCGGGGGGGGGGGGAGCAGCGGCTGCGGGACCGGTATGGGGCTGCTGAACACAGTGGAGAGTGAGGGATGCTGCAGCTTCCATACCGAGGCTGGAGCGTGCCCGGGACTGAGAACCCTCTACCCCCATGAAATGCTACCCTTTCTCCACAGGCCACAGCAGGGGACGGGGGCCTCCCTGGGGACATGCTGGCAGGGGGTGGCCACATGCGGTAGGGAGGGGGCTGCTGGAAGCCCAGCCCTCATCCCAGCAGGGCTGCAGGGATGCAAGATATAGCCCTCCCCATCACAGCTTGCTTCATCTTCTTGGATGAAGACAGACCATTTGGGAAAACAGGAAGGACCTGTTTTGGGGGACATGCAGGAGGCTAGGTGACCCTAGAGGATGCATCCAAGCAATGGAAAGGGTAGCCCCAGATGGCTTTGCCCTCCCATGGCCACGTTTTACCTGTAGACTGTCTTCAAAGCCTCTCCTGGAGGCTGAGCCTGAGGTGGCAGCTGCACCTAGAAGGACAAACCCTTGCAGCTGAGCCCGCAGGATGCTCCCCTGGCACCCTTCACTGCCTGCCCAGCACTACCACCCCTGTCACGAGCTGAGCAGGGTCTCAGCTGCCAGCCCCACAGTGTTGATGTGTTACCTTCAGGGCCGCCGAGGCAAGCCGCTCATGGCCACTGGGTGCTGGGGGCCCGGCTGTGGCCAGATCCTGCTTGCAGGAGCTCGGCACCTGCAGCATGCAGTCCTTGGAGCCCGGGTGAGAGCTCTGCTCCAGTTCTGCCAGCAAAGCATCTGCACAGAGAGACCTGGGTCCGGCACCCCAGCCACTGGCTGCCCTCCCTGCCTGTGCACCCCCCCCAAGTGGTCTTGTGCCACTCCTGAAATCTCAGGAGCAAAAGTAGCATCACAGCAGCTTCTGCCCGCCAGGTGCCAGGGCCCTGAAGGGCTGTGGTGGCCCTGAGCATGCTCACCCAGACCCCCCCCCCCAACACAGGATGTGCCCGCCACACTGCGCAGCCTTCCTGAAGCGTGGGGGGCCGCTGGCAACAGGGGTCCTGCTTCCCCCGTGCACTATCTCTGGCTTATGAAGAAGCATCTATCAGCCCTTATATTCATCCCAGCACAAGCCCTGGCACGGGAGAGCTAAACCTTGGTGCTTTCTGTGCACCCAGAGCGGTGCTTCCCGCAGGGAGGGCAAAGCACTTTCTCTTTCCGCTTTTACCTTGCTACCTTGGCTGTCCCTCGGTATCTTGCTGCCCAAGTGTCGGGAAACAGGAGGGTGCTCCCCACAGTACGGCTGCTTCCCTGACCCCATCTCCCTCAACCTGGGCCAGGGATGACTCCCAGCACCCTTGGATGTCGTGTCACACCCTTGGGCTGCTTGGCCCCATTGCATGCAGCTAGGATTGCATTACTGCCGCAGCCTGTTTCCTGCGTTCAAGCACTCTCCATTTTTGGTCAAGCGCTCACTCAACCACCTGGGCCCCATTTGTCCCCTGAGATGGGGGGAGGCATGGCAGGGAGTACGGCTCCCTTGCTGCCCCCTCTGCAGCATCCCCACCTGACCCTGAGGTAGAGGAAGGACAAGGCTCCCCCCCGCCACCACGAGCCACCAAACAGACGACCCTGTACCAAGCCTGAGCGTGGGACTGGCTCTGGAGGGGCCCGGCTTACCTAAATCCTCCATCCTGCCTCGGCATGGGGTCCCGGTGGCCAGGGGGCTGGGGCTGGGGCAGTGCCTGCAGGGCGGCGAGCTGGCAGGCTGGGCTGCACAGGCTTTTAGTTCCGCTCTCCAGCCTCGCCTCCGCCCGCCCCCAGGGCTGGGGTTTGTCGCTCGGGGTTTTTCCTTTGTGGGTTGTGTGCTATGCGTCATGTGTGATGGGCAGCAGGCAGAAAGTGGTGGCAGCGGCTGGGGCAAGGGGATCTGAGAGCAGCCCCAGGTTGGGGCTGGAGAGGGAAGAAACTGGCCAGCAGGTTGTCCAGGGAGCTCCTGACTCATAAAAACATCCAAGCTCCTTGGGCTTCTCAGCTGGAAGCCAGAGCACGTGTGTCCTGCAGACCCAGGCCCTTTCCAGAAGCCACCAGCCGCATGTGACGAGGGACGGCATCCCTGCACTGGGTGGAAATGCATTTGTGACGGTGTGATGGAGGCAGGCACAGGACCCACCATGCTGGCATGCTCCAACACAGCCTCGCCTTTTGGGGGGATGCTTTTGGAGCCTCGTCTTGGATTTCCAGGTAACAGCAAATCCCTTTGTGTCACTTAGAGCCAGCATGAGCGCAAGGACTTAGCTCACTGCAGCAGTGCAGGCGGTGGTGGCACTGCCAAAGCTGGTGGCTGGGCTACGCTCTCCCTGCGTTAATGCTTTGGGCCACTTAAAAGTTTCCCAGAGGTGCCACGTGTGCGGCTGCCAGGCACAGCTCAGCCCTGACGCTACACGCATCAGGATACACTCTCTCAGCATGTCACCGCCGGCCAGGCACAACACCCAGCAGCAGACCAGAGCAGTGATCTGTGCTGGTAAATTGAGTGATTTACCCACTATTAGGACTTTTCAGCTTCTCCCGAGCCAGACCGCTTCAGTCTCCGGGCACCCCATGCAGCCATTTCAGGCGATAAGCCCATGAGCACCTGAATGTGTGTCTTGAGGCAGGAGCAATGCAGGCATTTCTGGTAGAGACACAGGTTGAGGTGGCAGTCTGCCTGCCCCGAGACACAGGCATGGGTCCCTCACTGTTCGGGACCATTTGGGAAGACAGACCCACAGGTACTGCCGTTATCCCTGGTGCCTCCACCGATGCCCGGCTGCTGTGAGGGTGATCTAGTGATATTTATGGTTTGGCCTTTTAGCAGAGAATCTTTTGGTACTGCTGAGAGCAGCCAGTGGATGTTGGAACAGCTCCAACGGACTGGTTAGTAATCTGGGGTGGGGGGATGAAGCGAAGGCTGCTGCAGCAGAGAGAGGTAAAGAACTGGCATATTCGTTGCACCAGCGGACAGGCGAATGGCAGGAGATGGCAGTGCAATGATGCCCACAATCAAAACATGCCCCAGACCGGAGGTGTAGATATCTGGGATGACATGGTGGGGGAATGCATGGCACCAAGATGCTCCCCGTGTCCTACCACAACCCTCCTGCTCAAGTTTCTCCCCCAAAGCTGCTTTTCCAACCTGCTGCGAAAGGGGTTTCCCCCACACGGCTGCCAGTGCACTCCCCCTTGCTGGTCTATCATCCCATCACAATTAATTAAATGGTGATTAATCCTAGACAGCGCATGCAGGGGAGGCTGCATGTGACTTGACATGTCCTTTGTGCTCTTGCTTGGATTTTTGGAGGAGGCATCACCTTGTTAGGTGCATGGATAACATCTCAGACACCTTGGCTACCAGCCCCATGCAAGCCTGCAAGCTTCACTGCATCCTTGCCAGGCTCCTTCTGAGTTCGGGCTACCCAGGGGTTTCAAGGATGCTATAAAAGCCTTGGGAGCAAAAGTTATGAGCCACGAAGCCAGAGCCCATGGATCCCTGCTGCTTCTCCTGCGGGTGTGCGACACTTCTTGCCAGTGTCTCACCTCTGCCACGCCTCCCACCCTGTGGGTATCTCTTTGATCTCGCTCCCACACTCCCTGGCTTTGCCTCTCTCCTGCCAACCCTCCATTTCATCCCCAGGGAAGAGGCTTGTTCAGAAGAAAACAACATTCCAGATAAAGCCAAATAAGCCTCAGTTTTTTCCCGGCATTGCCAGGCAAGAGGAGCCCCAGTTCTGTGTGCAGCTTCACCATGGCAGCTTTTTGCGTCATCGGGAGAGCTTTCAGGAGATTCTCAAAGAAAGGGTTGCAATCAAGCACTGCACTGCCTCCAGATGTGCGATTTTTCCACAAAATGGCCCAGAAACACAAGATGTGGCTGCTTCAGAAATATTACGGATCCTGAGGAAGGAGAGGTTCACCTCAAGGCCAGATAAAAGCAAGTGGGTCTGTGGCAGCAGACCAGCAGGATGCAGACATCCGTCAGCACCTGGAAGAGGGTCTGCAGTCAGGATCCGTAAACATCCTCACGGGCACCCGCAGGTTCTGTCGACAGCTGGGCTGAGCCTGCTCCTTCCAAGTCCATCCTCTCCATGGGTCCACTAAGCTCCTACACAGTGGGAGCTGCAGCGTCCTGCACAGCCGAGGAATGAACGCTTGCTGCACAGGTCAAGCTGACGCAGTCTTGGCCACCTGTTCTCACGCACTGCTGATCCCATCTGCGCCATCAGGGTGGAACGGGGTTGAATTAAGCCCCTTTGTACCAAGCTGGCACGCCGAGGTTCGTTTAATTACTGATGCTCCATGTTAGTGACAGCTCTTTTGTTATCTGCTCACAGTAGAGACATCCAGCAGGGCACCATCTCAGGAAAAGCCATGTGGGACGCTAAACGTGAGTCCCATGATATGTTTCAGGACAAGCAATATTGAGAGCTACCCAAAAGACCAGGCGAGGCACTGCTTGTATCGTTCCCTTATGGCTACTTTGAGACAAGATCATTGCATCAGACACTTCCTTTTCTGCAAATAACAGAACCTTCCTGTCTGCGGAAGGTTTCAGGTTATTTTTAGACTTCTCAGTGATTTACTCTCCCCCTCCAGTGATAATGCGAGTCCTAGTGTAAACAAGTATCTGGAGCTGTAACTTCGTATTATAAAATTTCCCATTATAAAACACAAGCCCAACAGATGCAAATGGCTGAGCTATGTTTCCGTGCAATGGTTTAGCCAACTTATTTTAACAAGAATTAAGTGACACCATGCCTTGCCTACAAAGGAGAAATCAGTCACGACAGCGACTTGAAAATAAGTTCCCACATCGAGACTCTCTAGTTTGAAATAAAATTGATTCTATTTAAGAATAAATGCAAAGTCATTTCATAGCAGAGAGTATGGGTTAACTGTAGCAGAACAGTTAGTTTGGAAAATGATGTCAATCAGTTTTCCAGCTAGACAAGTCCTTGGGGAGAGAAAGAATATTTTCAGCCACTTACAATACAAACAGCAGTAGCAGACACGACTTAAATTCTTGCTGAAATTTCCTTCTTGAGAAGAGACAGAAACATTTCAACTGAAAGGAAACTAACAGATTGACATTGAACTGACAAAAAGCAAGAGCCAGCCAAACTGTCTCTGTGCTGAAAATGAGCTTCAAACCACTCGGCTAACCAACTCCGGCGAAGGTTTGTACATCGCCTTTAAAAAAAAACGCCGCTGCTGAGAAAGCACGCTGCCACAGCTTCTGCAGGAGGCTGAACTGGCAGCCTCTTGCCTTGGTCTGGAAGGGACAGAAGGAATCCCTGTGCAAGTATCTCAAACTTTTCTAGTTCTTTAACTTTCACGTTAGAATGTACTCCTCCTCCCCGTGGCCCGGTGTCTTTGCCAAGAGGAATCAGACCGTCTGCTGTTCTCCACAATAAGATGGTTTATTAGAGCACTCTCAGGACCTGAGGAATGGAGATTTGGACATGCTTTTGTTTTCTAGTCATACATAATAAAGCTTAGGACTTGAAACTCAAAAGGGGGAGGAAATAAAAGGCAGACCGAGTCATCTCACTGATGGGTATGAGTTTACCAGACATGATTTACCAGCTAAATGCCTCAGGCTCTTTGAATTCCCTTTTATTTTTGCCGTCTGTAGAGCAGAGATGAAGAGCACCTCGTTCTGCTACTGTGATGGGGCACCCTTCCCAGAAGGGCACTGCACACCCTTGAAACAAACAGTGGATGTGAAAGCTGGCTTATGCAGAGGAGCTTTCCCCTTCCCAACCCTGCTGCAGGGGGCCGAGGGGCAGTACACCAACCTCAGGAAGCGCAGCGTGGCCTGCCTTTCTTTGGCTCTTTGTAAAGTAGCTTCCACCTGTTCCCCAAAGAGATTCTCCCCTGCGTAGGGTAAGTTCTCGAGTTTTGTTTGGACCTCCTCGTGGACGCTGGAGGCTTGCAGCCAAGCAGACCGCCGTGCATCCACCCCCGAGGCAGCGGCTCTCGCCACCATATCCCCTGTGTCAAAGGCTGCTTGCACCTGATGCCTGGCCAGATCTGTGCCCTCGAGAATGATGACCTGGAAGGCCTGATGCTGGTCCTGCGGAAGACGTTTTGCTAGCGCAGAAACTTTCTTCCAGAGGTCAACTTGCCCTCTGGCCATGTAGACTTGATAGTCCTGACACCAGGTGCAGGGGATGGAGCAGAGACTGGGACACAAAACTGCTTGAAGGTGGTGGCTTCAGTGTTGGTGGGCTTGAAGCTTTTGGGTTCTGTTTGGTTCTTACATGACAGTGCTTCTTCTGCGGGGAGCGTGTGTTGTCAGGTACTGTGCAAGTTTTGATTTGGGGAGGTAACTCAGGTTTTTGGAGATGACAACAGCGGGTCCTTCAGCAGAGCCGCTCTCCCAGGCTCTGCTGGAAGGCCCAGCAGGGTCGTCAACTGTAGTGCTGGGACAGAGCCCTGGCTACCGGCAGGGAAGGTGAGCTCACGCCGCCGCTTCGTGGATTTCCCCTTCGCTGCCCTGCAGCTCACCCGCTCAGGGTGCAGGTCAGCGCCACCGCCGGCCCCGCCGGCCAGCAGGGCGCGGAGGTGCTCCCAGCGAAGGTGGGCAGCGTAGGGGGCCATGGGGGCCATG